TAATGTTGAAGTTCGACTAGTTGAGTTACGCATGAACGTCCACTTCTGAAACCATGCTGAGATGGAGTGAGGAAGTTGATTAACTCTAGTTATTTAACTGTTTCACTGTATATGATATGCTCAAATAAACTACAACAGCAAATTGCTGTTAGCGAGATGGGCCTGTAATTTTCGACGAGCTTTTTATCACTAGATTTATGAACCGGGATGACGTTTGCAACATTCCAGTCATGTGGGGAAACTCAAGCATTGAGTGTAGTTTCATATATAACGCATAAGTACTTTGTAATGACGCTGTGACAGTTTTTAAGAACAAATTATGAGAGGCCATCTGGTCCAACTGCTTCAGTTGTATCTTTCTGCCGTAACAAGCAGTCGACACCAGTTATGTCAACCTCCATGTCATTCACGAAAGGCTGCGTGACTGGAAGCGCCTCCACATAGCCAGGCGTGCTTTGAGTAAAAACTGATTCAAAATATTTCTTCAAAGCTTCAGCTTTTTTTTTATTGGTTCACAAAGTATCACTCTCCACAGTAAGAGCAGGAATGCTCATATCGTCTTTTCTAGTTTGTTTCAGATATATTACCCTTCTTTTCTCTAGACCTAAGTTGTCTATTACATCTGCAAGCTAATGTCACTTATATTACCCTTCTTATCTCTACACCTATCTCTGACTGGTACATTTTCAAGGTAATGTCACTTATATCACCCCTTTTTTCTCTAGACCTTATATCTAACTGTTAGATTTGCAAGCCAATGTCACTTATATTACCCTTCTTATCTCTAGACATATCTCTAACTGGTACATTTGCAAGCTAATGTCACCTCTATTACCCATCTTATCTCAAGACCTCTTTCAACTGTTACATTTGCAAGCTAATTACGCATATATATTACCGTTTTTATCTAGACCTATCTCTAACTAGTACATTTGCAAGCTAATGTCACTTATATTACCTTTCTTTATCTCTATACCTATCAATAACAGGTACGTTTGCGAGCTAATGTCATTTATAGTACACTCTCAAATACAGTTTTTAGCCGGTGTTCGTGTGGAACACAGGTTGCTGAGTTCTTTCATGACATTGTTGTACTTTGCCTCAGCAGGCACAAGTTTACAGGATGAAACTTATCTTTGTTTGGGGGGGGGGGGGCGGAGGGGGCGAGGTTGGGGCAATTTCGTCACAGACTTCTAGTGAATTCACAAAAAACCCATGTTGAACAGGATGTGCATGTATGAATGAAGAGCTTACTGTCATGTCGAGCCCAATCTAAATTTCTTAACAATCGTGGTTCTCCGGAGGCAACGTCTTGTGTACCGTATTGTGCTGTATTCAATCTCTTACTATGTCTCCCTTCAATAAAACATTCTCCACTTCCATGCAGTTTCAAAGTGCTCGCTGATAAATGTGACTGCGTGATGTACAGCAACACTTCCTGTATCACCTTTACCGGTCAGCGTGGCAAAAAAATCTCGGCACGCTGATTGGTTGCCGTTTCTCATAGCTAATGATTTTTTTCTAAAACTGAAATTTCTTGAACTGTCCAAAATTTTGACTAATCACACTGTCCGGTTAAAAAGTAATCACACAACTGTCAAACAATTCGTTAAACTAATAATAACACGTATAAACCCATCGATCAGCACTTCAAGGCTGATTTCACACCAAAACCAACCCTCATTAGCCCTGACGTCCCTGACTTGATGCTGCCGATCACTCATTAGTACTGTTCAAAAGCAACCTCGAGCACACTCATGCGAGCATTGTGAAAACTTCTTTATTTATTTATTCCACCAAAAAAATCTGCGCATGTGCAATCTGGGACCCCCAGCCACTCACACCACTCGTATTATAAGATGATTACTAAATCGGGCTGTAAGTTTTGCAAATGCTTCTTAACATAAAATCACTTAATGAAACACATGCTGAATGGCCTAAACTATCGCATTTTTACGGTATATATATTGTTCGCCTTCCACTCCGTCACAATCTGTATCATTATCCAATCTAGCATGATGATTTTGATTTCTTCCAGAAATTAACTATCCTGTTCCCACGCCATTATTACCCTCATATCCCCAAACACACAAGATATTTGTACAAACATTTCATCTTGCATGCAAAATTTTCCCCGCAGCTCTCACTCTGGATGGAATCATGAAATGGAATCTGCTGCTACAGTTTGACACTCAGCCTTACATATACACGATAACCAAAACGATTACAGGCTTTCAATATACACTAATAAACGTGCGGCGATTTGTCTCGAAGTTTTGTTCAACGTAATGTGTGTTTTAGGTTAGGAACGCTACAATGCTGCGTTGGTTGTGCATCGGCGTCACGTTTACCAATTCTTTCAGTTATCGCATTGGTATGGCTGACTCCTCCAACTGTGATAACTGTCATTGCGTAGAAACTCTCGACCATGTTCTGTGCCATTGTGCAGACTTTTAAGAAGATCGCCGGACTTTCCAGTGTGCCTTAAGGAGACTGGATTGGGCCCTTTACTATAGAGAAGGTTTTGGGTGCGTGGCCTTCAAGTACATCAGCCTACAAAGCCACACGAGCCCTTTTACAATTCCTGAGAACAACATCACTGTACGAACTCCTGTGAAACCCGCACTGAGTGTGCGGTGTGTGTGTTATGTACAATTTGTATCTCCTCCTCCTCTTTCTCACCTCTACTGCTTCATTCCTCTCTCCTCCCGAGCAAGGTAGCACACTAGACTTAACAACCCTACCTTTCTGATATCATTTCTCTCTATAGGTTACTGAATTGTTAAGAATTTTCTTCCACACCGTTTGACGTTTCATGCTATAGGGCACATTTGCTTTGACTACTGAAGTCTGTTTGTCCAAACATATAAAGTCACAATTTTTAATATTTAACATGTTCGTTTAGTGCCCTTCTTTAGTTATCATTTTCACTTGTATATATTAACCGGCACTTTTTTTCTCAAATGTACATCGCTATCCCGCTGCATTGCTTGTTGGGTGAAGGGACACTAAAGAGTAACAAAGACTTGGTTTAGATTGACAAACTGTGCTCTGATAACTGTAATGCCCTATGTACCACAGTCAAAAATTGACTATTAGCGGATAAAATTAAGCTGGAAGTATCATTTTTGAATTTCGCGCGAAAACTTCGCGCATGATGTAAGAAACTCTAAAATGCATTTTTCTTATTTTAGCAACATTGGTGCTATGAAGTTTTCTGAAATTTATTATGCTAGGTCTATGACACCTGCAGATAACTGTGTACTTCATTTTCATTGATTGAAAGCTACGTAGGTACCAGCAGAAACATTCAAAATTTATGGTGTCATGGTGCGGGAATCTCAAAGTGGCGTCTCTACCTACATTTTTTAGCACGTTTCCTTGCTTACCAAGCGTCATGTCGCGCTAAATGTCGTGTTTTCAGGATTGTGAAATTGCACTTCACTTATACACGAAAATCGCTTTGCTATTTAGTAATTTTAAGTTGCAAATGACTCATGAAACCTCGTCAGTATTAGGTTTCTATGTATTCTAATAAACGACAGTTGTTCAGGCTTATAAGCGGTAACGATTATATAGACACACCAGGCATGTACTTTGCATAAAGTGCCAGGTCGACAACATCAGCCCAGTCATTGTATGTTTTATGTGAGAGTGAATATTCGCATGCAAAGGCCGCCGACGTTTTTAGTTCAAACCGGTATAGGAAACGCAACGTCCGCCCTCCATCGTGCGAAAAGCCCACGGCGGGTTCCTTAGAAAAAAGGTGGGAGCTGCGCAGTGCGGACAGTTCAAGTGAGGGAAAGTTGAGCTACACAGGATGGACAGGTGAATCAAAAGTTGAATGCTGACATGCTCACCCTATTTTAACAGAGATTAGTAGAAAAAGAAACCGAGGCCTCTAAACAAATGCACAGGATGAGCTAAGTGGAAGAAAATTGAACTCTTCCGAGAAGGAAAAAAAGACGAGAGAAGACCTAATGAAAACGTGAGACAAGAGGAACAGAATGATAACACGAGAACAGTAAATAGAAAGCCATCTGCACTACGGAAAAGTAAATGCAGACCCGGAACAGATCTTGGAATTTATACGAGTCAAATTATTCGTATAAGACCCTAATTATATGCTGTGGCCACATAGCTCATGCTTAAGCGCGGGGCAACTAAAAAAGACCCGGAAATGACGCGACACACGTGATCCAAATCACTTTGGCATATATTAACTTCGAGATGAAGCTACTTGTGATACCACCTACGCGATCAGCCCAGTTTACCTGAGACTCCATGTCCAGCGTTGGTTCATCGTACCCGTCCAAAAACTGACGAAGTCCGACGGGCCAAAACGCTGGAAACAAGGCACAAAAAGATATTCAACAGATATGGCTTTATCGGACATGATATCTTGTGATGACAGGTGCTATAAAAGCTCCAACATCTATACATTATAAAAGGAAGGCACAGAAAGAGACCCTGATATTTATGAGTTCTCCGTTCGAAGGCCTATTACTGCTGTAAGACTCTTCGATGGTCGCTTGTTTTTCCCGGCCAAAGTATTGCAGAAAACAGATGGGGAAACAAGTCTGTCTATACACAAGTAACACCTGTTCTGTGTATTTAGTATTGGAACGACATCACTCCCCTTCCCCCATCAGCCCTATCTGTAGCTCATACAGTTTGTATGTGAGTTACAGATAATAATTAATCTAATATAGAGCCGCGCTATAAAGTCACGTTGGAACAAAGCAAGCCAATTAGGTAAGTGTCCGAAATGTGTTAACGTTCTGCGTATTGGCTTCAGGCGACGGAGTGGAACAAAATGATGAATATTGGACGTTATGTTTACTAGCAGCGTTCCTGTGTCTTTTCCGCGCCTGCTAATAATACGCGTCTTTCTAGCTCGGAGTTATACGGGAGGCATTACTGCTTTCTGCACAGCATCACAGGAGAATACGCATGTACGTACTCTGTGAAGAGGACAGTAAGTCCATTAATCTGTTTAATTTAGTTGAAAAGCAACAGAAAAATGGACGACGTACTGGAGTGCGCTCGGTGTAAGTGCGAGCGTAGCGCGGAAACTCCGCGCGTAATGACTATTACGGAAAAATACACTTTGCTATCAGGTATATGATGCACGCCATGTAAGCAACGTGCAGCATGAAAGCCATGAGATTGTCCATGTCGTTTTCACATCGCACTGGAACCAGTTGCTTCATGCTGGCTTGCCAAGCCTGATACTCGGCGCATGTCATGCCCAGGTGAATGGCATCGCACTTGACACAGTTCTTGGTGCCGCAAACCTTGCACTCAACTTCCGGCACGCTCGCTTCTATGAAGCACCACCAGGGGCACTCAGCAGTTTTGCAGTGAAAGAAGTTCTTTGCTGACACCTTGACTTCCAGCAAGCCCTTCTGCAGATAGTCTTCGTACTCCTCTTTGGTTAGCAGCTGTGAATGAAAGCAAGAGGAGAAGAACGAACAATATTCGTGTGTAAAGCTGTGTTCCATATCTATTTCAGACGAATGGCCAACAAACAAACATCTGATCAGGTATTCACAAACATCCTTCACGCTAGAAAGGTTGGAAGAAAAAAAAGCTTAACCATTTCTGATGCTATAGGTCTTAGCAGCGGACGAGAGCTCCCAATAAGGAGAGCCCTATGTAATCAGGAAATTAGTTTATCTCTTGTTAGCATGAGAATGACGTTTTTAGATCTACGCACGCCAAACCAGATATTTCGGGTTTCGGCACATTATCTTTTTCATACGGAAAGCTTATTTTTCACAATTTTTGAAAGAGTTATCAAAGAGTTTAAACGTGCGATATACGGGTTGTCCCAACTAACGTTAGCCAAAGTTGAAGAATTCACTAGAACTTGGAGGCTGTGGTGTAGTTGGCCGAACACTATGAGACAATTTTTTTAGCTTGAGTAAAAAAAAAAAAAAACATTTGAACTAACAACTGTTAACTCAGACGCCCTGTACCATTGACTCACGGTCATTTGTTAGCCAAACTCAAGGTTCAGCTTAAAAAAAAAAAGAAAAGAAAAAGGGCTCACAATATGTAGCCCCTTTATACAAATAATTCTGAGTTACAAGAAAATGTAGGTGACATGCACGGGGAGTAGCAAATTAAAATTTTGCGCAGGAAAGAATGAAACTTTATTCACTATCACCAGCATGAATGCAACTCTTGTAGCTGTTGCAACGACCATCAATTCATGGGAACCGGGTTGATAACATCCACACAATCGTGCAACATTCGCGTGTGCAAGGTTGTTTAGGTTTTGTTGTGACCCAAGCATGACGCTCAAAATAATAATGCTTGTGCGTGTATTTTATTGGTCGAAGCAATCGATACATTAAGTGTACGATGCAGAGTTGTGCGTGTACACACCACAAACTATGTTCTTAAGCGGCAGTACAAGCCGTAACAGTGTATTGCGTTTGTAAATTATTCCAGTGCCAAATTAACTAGCCTGAGCCTATTTATTTTCGATTTAAGTTCATTTACAAATAATTAAACCAGGAGGTCTTACACAAAATAACATTTACTAACAATGCTCCATACAAAAGGTGAGGGTCATAACTGGAGCTATACTCGACCAGTTCCTACAAGTTTGGTAATTGCTAACCCTACTTACGGTTATTGTACAACTCGCTAGCACCTCAGAAGTTACAAGCCTTATCGAGAAAAGCTGTTATTATATTACCGCTGCAAATTTTTTAATGGTGGAAAAATGTACTGATGGCAGGTTGCGATCATTAAAAGAGAGAGTGTACATTAAGACGAAAACCTCAGACGCCTCATCAAACACAAAAATTGACCCCCGCCGTTGGCGTCAAAGATGATCAAGCCGAGTATTTATAAAATCACACGTCATGACCCCACCAGATGATGTGATCATGACGTCATCGATTATGAAAATTTGGGACGTTGTCATGATGTCACTGTGACGTCACACAGTGTAACGTCAAGGGGGGGGGGGGCGTCACCACAAATCGTCATCACTTGGTCAAAGGTGGGTCGGTCACGCGGTCAGTGCAAAACAAGGTCAGGTGCGCAAAACTAGCAATGCCTACTTTTCTGAATGCAGTGAAATAACCATGTTACGTGCAGACAGCTTTCGAAGTGGGCAGCGGGAGGATCAATACATCAACTGAGAAGGAAAATGCGATGGCCTTCACCTTCGAGACGTCTAAGGCAAATCAATAAGAGACCCGAGCAGTTTTCTTTATCTTGAGAGTTAAGTGAACAACCAGAGTAACTGACTTCCCGCAACTTCTAAAGAAATACGTTGGTATCTGTGCTCCGTGAGCTCCTGCGTATTTAAATATGGCAAACCATCGTTTACCGAAACGCTGCCAACATGCATACACACAGAGACTGCAAAGGCGAGCTTACGACGATAAAACTTTTGTGCACAAAGCGTTTGTGTTGAATGCACTGATGTTTCATTTAGCGTAAAATGTTCTGTATGAAGGAAGTAACTCTTGTAAACACACGCACGCACACACAGAAAGGCTTATTCCTTTAGAACCTTTACAGCTCGAAGTTTCTCATGAATCAGCTGATACTGTTTGAAACAACAGGTAAAAATCGGGGAGGAGATGGCAAAGCAAACGATCAGATCGACGCCGTGAGCCGTTGGGGCCTTCTTCGATACGCTTGAGAATATTATCGAATCATCAAAACAAGAAATGCAATAAGTGTATGCTTTAGCGTGCAGTCCTCGCATTGTACTTCCTTCTTCATCCTATCTTTGGGACAATGTGTAATATCTGTAGGCAGACGATTACGGTCAGATATAATTAAAGCTAGAAAATCCACTATTGCCATTGTCATCGCAATCACTGTTGTGTTGGTTGTGCTGTTGTTTCGATCATGTTTCTTAACATAATCACTTGCGGCAAAATGTATCGTTTCAGCATGTCAGCTGAAACCGGTGGAAAATGGCGTGGTGTGCAGAAATAAATTTACAGTATTAAAAAGTCAGTGTTAGGTTTTCTGCTGATGGTCTTAGTATAGCTCCAATCTATTAGGTAAGTACTGCCACAATTTTTTTCAAAGCGCACGATACTCACAGCATGATATCATGCTGTGCTTAATGCCATATGGCATTAATTTCGCACTACGGACGCCTAACCGAAAGTTTATACTCAATGATGTAATTTGTAACTCTGTGTAATCCAGGAACTGCGTTTCATCGTGCAAGTAACTTTGATCTCTTAGGTTAATCCACTCGAACGGGCCGAATAGAGCTATATGTCGCATATACTTTTTAATATTCCGCGTCGAAGAAAACGAAAGCTTAGCTGTACGTGTATTCGTGCTGTGAGACACCACTATGACAACAATGAAATTATTCGGGGCAAATTATCACAAACGTGGTTGAAATATGGGAAACCACTTCGAGAAATGATCCACCAAACCGGAAAATATTAGATACTGCTTCCAAAATGCGCTCGAGCCATTCTGTTTCATAATCGCAAGGCAAGAGCTACGTGTTGTGCACTGTTGGCAATACACGTCTAAAGGAACTAAAAAAACAGTGTGAGAATACATTTTTTATAACTAAACGGGCAAGATCCGTTCAAACATGACGCATGATGTGCCACGATGCACGCATGAACAACTGCGGCTTCAGCCGATTTTGAAAACGCTTCATTCGCGAAGATTGCAGGCTCGTGTCGCCATCTCACGCCTAAAAGAGCAACGATCATTTTCTTGTAGCCTGCACGGGTCTTCTCATCCAGCCGCGTGCTTGCCCGAGAATCATTTTTCAGCGCTGTCAGCGGACTCTATCTCAGGTTGAGAAAGAGCACGTAAATTAGAAGAGGGAGGGGGGGGGGGTGCTGCCCTTTTTCCTGGGATGTCAATCGGATTTCCCCCTCTTTATGCCATACTCCAAAGAAAAACGGCGACTCTTTCAGCGCAAAGGTGATAAAATACGTTTTGCAAGCCTAAACCACGCATTGTGAAGCAGGAACAGCGTGAATTCTACACGGGGACTCACAAAAGAAAAAACACAGACAAGCGCTGGCTTTCAACTAAACTTTTATTGAACACGAAAGGAAAATATGTGTGGAAAAAAATGTAAAAACATTAAAGTATGACAGGATTTGATGGGAGCATCATACGTGCTCTTCCAAATAAAAATAAAAAATAATAATTGACAAACCGACAGATGCCATACCATAGTGATGCTTAATAAACCTTCTTGTGCAATAGGTGACCAGTAAAAGAGTGAGGGATTGTGGGATACACCGTCTGCTACCGGCTTCCAGTTCGAGAAGAGATAGATGACGGCAAACCGCTTCGCCGCAAGCCTCAGATTATCCGGGATTCGCACGTTTGTTCGCACGTTTATCTTCGTCCTGATAAACCATGGTCGGTTGTTCAGCCGTTGGCTGCTCAAACTCAAGCGCGCAAGGCAAACGCAGGTATCAATTATGATGTAATGAAGACAAAAACGATTGATTGATTGATATGTGGGGTTTAACGTCCCAAAACCACCATATGATTATGAGAGACGCCGTAGTAGAGGGCTCCGGAAATTTCGACCACCTGGGGTTCTTTAACGTGCGCCCAAATCTGAGCACACGGGGCTACAACATTTCGAGGTGACAAAAACGAGGTGGGCCGTGACTGTAAAGAGAAGCACATCGACAGGTAGCCTTTGAGTACGGAACTTTGAAGCCAGAGTGTGCGAAAACCATTTTATCACAAGTACCTGTGTATTCCACACTAAAAAAATTGCTTACGCATAAATTTGCTGCGAATATTATATTGATAAACCAATTGTCGCGCAGGCGTGCCTAGCAAATATATTATGGGAACGAGTGGGCGAAATCTACCTGCCATACAAGATTAGCGCCGGCTATTGCACCCATATACATGACAAAAAACGCGAAAGCTTCACTCAAGAGTAAGTTTACACGAAGCGCTGGACGAGTTCATTTGCGTTTATTTTGGTCAAACTGTGCGCCAGGACGGCACCCAAAGGAAGAAGTGCGTTAAACAAGCGCAGGTTTTTGATTATTCGGCGCCGTTTATGCCTGACTGTATTGTTTATGTGCCGCCGTGCCGTGCAGCTTGACCAAGATCCGCGTTCAAATAAGCATCTGGCTTCGCCTAAGAAACGCATGTTATAGCGTGCTGAAGGCTAGAAAAAAATATCTCAACGCGCTCAATAAGTGTTGCGCTTCATGCCGTTCGACTGACGATGTCGGCCGAAGCAGCGATCCCGAAATGAACTCTTAGCACACTGCAGTCATTTCCATCCCCTGAGATCTTTAAAATGTTGACTTTTTATCTGCAGTACCGTATCATACAAGGAAAACTGTTTTATCTGCTAGCTGATCTGCTAGCCTAACTTGCCCCGCCGTGGTGGTCTAGTGGCTAAGGTACTCGGCTGCTGGCCCGCAGGTCGCGGGATCAAATCCCGGCTGCGGCGGCTGCATTTCCGATGGAGGCGGAAATGTTGTAGGCCCGTGTGCTCAGATTTGGGTGCACGTTGAAGAACCCCAGGTGGTCTAAATTTCCGGAGCCCTCCACTACGGCGTCTCTCATAATCAAACGGTGGTTTTGGGACGTTAAACCCCACATATCAATCAATCATCAATGCTAGCCTAACTTACAGCACCCCCAAGCAGCATAAAAACATTGCACTTCATTTAGTGCGACAAAAAAGTTTCCGGACCATTCATGGCTTTTGTAGCTTGTCATCGTCACAGTCACGGTTGGCAAAAAAAAAAAAAAAACTTCTAAAGCACTGACAATGCACGGCCAGGTGTTTTTTTTTTTTCAATGGAGCAGTACAGAAATGCGCGCGTGCCGTTGCTGACCCGCGTGGTGCGTCGAACCGGAAGCCGTCGTATCCCACGGTTCCCTGCGATTTCCCATTTTACCAGTCACCTATTTTGGCGGCTGCAGCGGTTTCTAAAGTTCGCTGGTCTTGATATCTGCTCCTGACTGTGGTTCCTTCGAACGGAGCAGTGCATGCGTCCGCAGCAACGGTGATGAATAACTAAAAAACCTTTAGCATTGCGCACATTATTGTTGTGCTCAAGAAGGTGGTCATTTAGACGCATTTCCGTCTGGCCTACATAGCATCTCCTGCATGAAAGTGGAAGTAGAGCACAACAATAATGTTCACAATGATAAAGAAGGTTTTTTAGCTGTTTATTGCTGTTCCTGCAGATGTACCTTACTGTTCGAAAAAGAAACAATATCATCGACAGACATCAGGACCAGCGCAGGCGCGAAAATTATTGAAGCCGCCCATATTGCACAAGAAGGTTCATCAAACATCAGCATGGAATTTGTTTGTTTCGCGATAAAAGAGTGATTTTTTTTGAAGAACCCGTGTGATCATCTAATGAAATCTTGTCAAGCTTTATTTAGTTTAAGTTTTTTTTTCTATCTATTTCCCTTTTCGCGTTGAAAAAAGTTCCATTGAAAGTCGGCGCTCAATTCTGTGTATTGTTTATTTTCGTGTGTTGATTTTTTGTGTTTATTTTTTGGGTGCTGTTGAGGGCGTCACAAACAAAAGCTATTCGAAAACGATAAGTGAACCAACTGCCATATTAATAAAACTTATAACGGCAAACGAATAGAGAAGGGAGAACTGAACCTGAGAGCCTCTTCGTAGCCGCTACGTGCTCGGTTGAAAAGAGTATACGCCTGTGGAAATGCGTGGAGAACCATATGCAGCGGACAATGCTTCCCTTATCAAGAAATATAGATGTGTTTGAAAACGAGACATTGATGACTTCCGCTCAAGCGTAGTGGCCCTGTGGAAGTCACCCCTTTGGAGCTGCTGTTTCGACAAATGATGCGTGTCTCCTTGAGAAAACGGGTAATGTGAAACACCTGCATTTCCCTCATCATTCGTCACTGCAGTCTTATAAAGGATATAGCTATAAAGTTCAATGCTTTTCCTACGCACTTGAGTTATCGAGCGTAATAACTCTTCAATATTCTTGATTGTTTGCGTGACGGGGTTACAACAAAATGTATTTCTACACGTAGTTTCAAGAAGTGTACTCACCATAAAACCAGCACCCGAAAAAGAACATCAAGTATCAATGCAATAGTGCCATTTATGCACGTTATCATGGCGTAGCTGTTCACGCCTGCATGCACAATTTACCACCTCGATTTATTTAGGGCAAAGAAAGCCTTAAGTGACAGAGGGAAAGACAAACGGACAGACAATCCCTGGGCGATTTAAAAGTTGAATCGCCCAGTTCGAAATGATAGGAAATCAGTATACTTATAAATGTCGACTTTCTCAATCTGAATGCCTCTAAACACCCATCAAATGTAGGCGGTAAATCTGTCGAAGACGTACCGCTCGGACTTCAGTGTCTTCAATATCGATGTCGCAAGTAACATTGTTTTCAGAATACGGGCACTTCACCGCCACAGTTCCAGACCGTTCTATGGCTTGAACCACGCAGGACCTACGGGAACAAAAATAAATTTAGATTTCAAGGAGACACAATGTAGGTCACTGTCTGCGCTAGTTTCTGATCGGCATATTGAAGGATCCATTCGGCCGCAGGTCGCGGGATCAAATCCCGGCTGCGGCGGCTGCGTTTCCGATGGAGGCGGAAACGTTGTAGGCCCGTGTGCTCAGATTTGGGCGCACGTTAAAGAACACCAGGTGATCAAAATTTCCGGAGCCCTCCACTACGGCGTCTCTCATAATCATATGGTGGTTTTGGGACGTTAAACCCCACATATCAATCAAGGATCCAATCGGTTCCGCTCACGTTTAAACATTTTGTGCGAACAGGTGGGCATGGCAAATTGCTGGGCAGCTCAATTTCTCTCTCTACACGTTGCCGATTTCAACTGGTACAAGAAGTATCTTCGAGGGAAACCGTAAGCGACGCAAGCATTTTCTTTACCTTTTCTTTGTCTTTCATTTGGGACTCAACAGCGTCACATGCTATGACGCATCAGACAAAACGTATAACTTTGTTCTGCTGTGAACTTCAACAACATTGTTCAGGCGATAAGATGTGCATGTGCGCATTGTAACTACGAGGTTCGAAGACTGTCCGCCTAAGTAACAACAACGACGACGACAACGACGACAAAAAGAACAAAACTAACAAGAACAAAAAAAATGGTTATAGTACGCCTAGCTTATGATCACCCTTAGAAACAACGACATTTTTGAGCTTGAAACGGATTATACGTGCGACAAGCATGCAGAATGAATACGTCACTTCTTGTGTTATATATTTAAAAAATCATGCTGTTGAAATCGCCCATGCTGTAGGTTTACCTGTCCCATACAAAATTGTTCCAATGACAGGACCACTGGCCTATTTAAGAAAGCTTTTCGTACGTAGGCCGAAAGTGACCTTTCCGGTTGACCGGCCACACCCACTGCTATAATCACGATACCATCAGTATAGCATGACAAAAAGAAGGAATTTATTTTTCCAAACAAATCCAGTGTAATGATGTTTTTTAATACGTTACGAAATTTCTCAGCAGTATAGGGCAGATAAGGGCAGCATGGTAACGCTGCTCCGAGGCACAGCCTCGCTCTGTCAACGAGTCGTACCCGTTTATTTACTTATAAAATTGACATATTGGGGGCGTTTATCAAACACTTCCTCATCATCTGTACATGATCATCATCGAATGAGGTTTTTCGTCACCATCACTGTGAGAGTCATCTTGAGATTGTTCTGTGTCTGAATGTGATTTGCTCACCACGTCTCCAGGCCGTATTAAAATCGCATTGACTGCTACGTCAATATTCGATGACATTCAAGGAACAGAACAATCTCAAGATGAGTCCCACAACTGATGACGACGAAGAACACCACGAGATCATTTTAATGTACAAATGATGAAGTGTATGATAAAGACCCACAATTAAAAAAAGTAGACCCAATGAAAAAAGAAAAGAAACATGTGCGACTGAGTGGTGGAGCAAGGCTGTGCCATGAAGCAGCCTTGATAAATGACCACAATATGCGTTTCGTGCTGCAGTCACATCGGTGTTATACTGTAAATACAAGGCCCTGGATGGACTCAGATGTCTTCAATCGAGCCCCTTTTCCTACCCACTCTTCATTGCAGTGGAGCTGCTATAATTTCAAGCAAATGCTGAAATACTATCTAAACAAACACGACGATACCTCGGATGACCTCTCTCAAGGAAGGCCTCAATAACCCACTTACGACGTACGAAGACCTAATCCATGATCCAAAACACTTCTTCAAAAATAGCTTCATATGAGACATAAAAGTTATGTCGTGACAGAATGCTATTCGCAATACTCATAGACTGTCGCACCGCCCAGCGGAATTCAGGAGCGTCCTCTCGAGGATGATCAGTAGGCAGACGCTCCAAATGCTCCCTTGTTCAGCGGTACTAGCCTCAGTGTTAACGTGTTCGCAAGAAACTAACAAAAACCACTTTGTCTGTTTCGTGCATAAATGAATATACCAGAACGTCCGTGACACGATAAATCTGATTCGTACTAGCGAGACGTGAAGTTTTCGTGAAAATACGTGGCAACTCGCACTTTCGATTATAGCCCGCAGAGTACACATATCAGCATTGCGAGATTTTCTGCAGCCCCATTGAATAGTTAAATGTTATCGTCTGACCATTGCTCTCGAAACTCGCCTTGTTTACGTGCGTATAGCATTCGTCAGCGCTTTTCTAGAGCATGAATCCCATAACATTAATTGTGCGCGGAAAGTAGCCCAGGCTCGTGATTTGCTCTTCTAAACCTTAGCAAATGATGCGCCGCTTAATTTTTGCGTTTGTTGATAGATGACAGCACACTGCAAGCGTTGCTTTTCTAGCCGGGTTGTATAAGTGTTCTCTGGCGAAATGTTCTCCCCCCCCCCCCCCGATAAACGAGGTGAGTGACACCATGTTGTGTTGTGCGCGGTGAATGGCGCGTTGTTGGTGCTATCGCAGTCGTCAGATTACTTTCAGCGGTGATGTTCGAAGCAACCGTCTTGATGTGGAGGATTTCGCGCTGGACGCAGACGGTTGTCAACGCGCCGAGAATGACAGTGACGATGAATGATCAGCTGCCAGCTCACGAGCAGCGAGTTGCACTTCACGTCCCGTCGAGCGTTAAGGTTCTTTTTTCATGCTCATAAGTGACTTTAATTGTATTTATTTTATAATATCCTTCAGCGAGGTCGAAATAAAAGCACACTTCTTTTTGTGCATTGCATGTAACCAAATTACCGTGGATATTACAAAGCACCGTATACTGCCAACATGTTCGAGCTCGACCAGCGAAACGAAATGGTTAGAACAATGAAATATGCAGTTACGACTACAGTTCACGCTAAGTTCTCCTGCAATTCACCGGTGCCGTCCGAGAGACGTTGTTGTTCAACGAAGTTTCACAATTTAGACGTTGCGAAAAGCGTGCACGTGTATTCGTTTCGATGTCCTTGTTTTGATCGCGCTGATGGAACCTGCAACATCCGAGTGCAGGGAATTGCGCACTGTTAGTCTGATCGCGGTTGTGACCCAAGCGCTACTTCATGGGAAGTTAAATGCTTGTGCTCCGTTGAAGAAGCAGGGACATGATGCTTACAGCTCAAGTAATGACGACGGCGTAGTATGTTTGGAAACGATCGCCACGTTAAGCATTCGGTCCTGTGCAGCCGCGACGGCGCGCAACTCTTGAGTAGCTCACTTCTGAGGCAAATCCGTCAGGCAGGCTCGGCACAAATCTTCTCGGAGGGCCATTCAGTTCATACGCGAAATCTAGTTCGCGCGGTTTTTTGTAGCACGCACAGAATGACAACAAAGCATCGTTGATGTACGGTCGATCAGCTGACACCACCACTCTTTGGACTGCGGCAAGATATGAGCTAGCGAACATTCAGTAGTTCTTATTGTTTGGCAAAATACTTAAGTCCCATATACATTCATTTGACGATCAAGAGTTCATCCGGTGAAAGCAGCGCGGGTAGTACGCCCGTGCGTCTTATCTTTTCTTATGCGAGTTCACGGGTTGGTTATCCTCCCAGTACCATCTTAGATTGCACGGCGCACCACCCACAGACCATGGGCATTGCGAATAGCATTCTCTCACGACATAGCTTGGACAGTCACGCTGAGCAAATTCAACGTGCATCAAAACTGACAAATAAATTCAGTGCTCGAAATATATTTTGGGAGAGGAACTTTTTGCACTAATAAAGGCTGAGTAGATTGGCACTATCTTTAGTGAGAGAAGTCATAAAGCGAGGAGCATGATGCAGACTTACCTACACACTGAATGGTGGCAACTTTTCAGGCAAACTCCATCTCCCGTGGCAACATCAGACTTGCAAACTGGGCATGTGAACGGTGCTGAATTTACGACGATGTCTTTGGTGTACAACTCCACCTGTTCTTGAAGCCGCTTCTTTTTTTCCTTTGAATCCTGTTCAGAAGACCCATAGCGCAAAGTTAGGATAACAAATAGAAAGGCAGGGCAGAACGGAGGATGTCACATCCTGAGAAAACACAGCAGATTGACTGAAATTTTAAAACAGCTTAGTAGGTACGATAATAATGAGAACTAACTGACAATGATGCCAAAGAAAGTATAGGGAAGTATAAAGAAGTTGCTTTCCCTGTACCAACAAACAAAAACTAGCCCTTATTTCCCCTTCTTTCATTTATTATGTATGTTGTTATGTAGGTCTACAAATTCATGTACGATTAAGTGCAAAGATTTTCTTTTGCCATGTGAAGTATAATCACTTTACTAAACATCTCAATTTTTGACCAATAGCCAGTTGCCATTGCTGCAAGTATCAGCCTTTTCTCGGTTCGTTCTAGACGGCTGAGAAAGATATGGCTGTCAAGACTGACTGCAGCTGTCGCTTGTGGGGCATAAATACATATTGAAGAGAAAGTGAGCTGGTTTACTTTTTTTGCAACAATTCACTCAGTAGCCACTTTTTAAAGCACCGAACAGCGGAACATGACTCAACTGTTTACCGTGCTTTGTTTTTTCAGTCAATAGGCACGCTGCCCAAATATACCACGCATGGGCGCTAGTGAGGTCTGCTAGCTATCTTACCCAAGTCCAACCGCGCATAACGCACGCAAAAAAACCGAAGGCCGCCCCGTGGCCCAGAATGTCCGTAAGATGTTATGATTCTCGGTAGCCTCCGTACCTTACCTTCCCCCATATATATATATATATATATATATATATATATATATATATATATATATATATATATATATATATATATATATATATATATATATATATATATATATATATATATATATATATATATATATATATATATATATATATATATATATATGAGGTAAGCTACGGAGGCTACCCAACATTCATTGATACATCTGGCTTTGTACCCTACACTACGGGGCGGAGGGGAAAAAGGATCGGTAGAAGAGGGGAGAGAAGTATTTTAGGAGGATTTGGCCTAGTGTTATAACAGATAAAAAAAGTCAAATAATAATAATTCTGTATCGCTTAGTCGCACAGGAGGTGCGGCACTGACCTTGTCGTTATGCGGACACTCTGTGAACACATACCAAACAAGGTCAGTGATGGAAACAAAGTAAAAGTCGCACAAACACTTTTTTTTCTTCTGACTGGACATACATGAGACGCCCTGAAGAGCATTGCCCCCTTACCTCCAAAGCACCACTGTCCATAGCCTTGACCACACGCAGGATGTACCGCTCGCACGAGAGGCCCTCGTGAATGGCCCGACAGGCGAGGCAGTTGAGGGCAGAGCACTGTGGGCATCTCACGGGCTCCGTAGCCGGGCCATCCCAGCACCAGCTTCCCGAGCATTTCGATCGTGCGCATCGGTACAACGGAGACACCTTGTCATGACTTAATCTCTTTTCCGCGCTTAGCTCGTTTTGTTTCTGAAATGAATGAAATATAAGGAGACTCTTGTGAATGGTAGCGAGGAGTGTGTCGCTTCCCTCCCGATGCCACAGACGATACATTCTTCCTTGAAAACAGAATGAAACGCAAACAAAATCGTAATTCAAAGCATACAAAGTGTGAGACGTGCATTGCGATAAAAACAAAAAAGGAGAGAAACGAATAAAATTACAGCTGCCACACTTGTTAAGTTTTGCTGTGGTATTATATATAGTGGCTGATGAGTTGCGCTGCAATGTTCTACCCTCGCTCAACCACAGAGGCAGAATTTGCATGGGGAGATACGATAAAGTACCCTTGTACTCAAACGTAGTGCTCGCAAAAAGCACCGGGTGGTAAAAACATATCCGTAAAATCCACATTCCTCATAATATTCGGGTTTTGGCATGCACGTATAAAAACATGAACTCTAGCATAACTTTTTTTTTTCAACTCTTGTGAAATGGTCTTGAGTGAATAAAGTTGGTGATTGTGTTTAGGTGTCAAAAACGCAGTCGTCACCTAATTATACTTTGGTCAGCTACTCTCCTCTTATGCGGACTTCAGTTACCAGCATTATGAGAGCCACTTCTAATATGCAGTGCATATTGCTGCGTACTAGAAGGACGAGCCATGAAAACAGTTGATGTTGTTAGGGCTTTTGTCACGGATAAAATTATATACCTACAAATGCGTGTCTTCTTGTCTAAAAACGCAAAATGCCATATGCAAAGCTCCTCGATATAATTACACTGCTACGCTAGGTATAGTGATGGACACTGCTATGATTGAAGTATGTGAGGGGAATTCACAAAGTACATCATTTCTAAGTAATCTACATCAAGGGCTAAATCCAGCAGCATAAATTTGCTGGAAATGTCATTTAGACATAGAGAAATTTCGGTGCAGTAAATTTTTGTGAGTGTAAGTCCTGAAACCTTTCAAACAAAAAAAATTGTACGTTAACAGTGTGAAAACACACCCCAGCCATCAGTTTTACTGAAATTTTACAAACTGCTTTTATGAAGGTGGACAGCCTGCTATAAGTGCGGGTGGATGTACAGCGTCAAGTCAAACTCGGAGACTAAGAGTTTTGCGTTGCTTTGTTTCGTATTTACAAATACGTATTTATGCTTAGCCAGGTCGTAAGAGCAAGCACCATCTAAAACTCGCTTCAGCGGACATGTTACTAGACAAAGACTAGCTCACCAATGACAAACGGTCACGCTGAGAGTTTAGTTATAACTGAAGTTGCAATTGCGACTGGTAGATAACAGAGTTGCGTATTTGAAAAAAAAAGATTATCTCACGCTAATCTCGAACAAGGCTGGTCATTACGGCGGCAATTCACTGTAATCCACTAACCTCCCTGTCCTTCCTCATTTATTCCTCCTCCTCCTCACTGTAATCCGGCTGACTACTATCTTGCATAGGTCGGCGAACTAACTCTTGAGTCGACTGACTAGGACTCACTCAGACTCAGATCAAGCAGTGAGCCTGAGTCCGAGAGAGTCTGGTTGAAAAATATTTTAGTGAGTGTGAGTCCGTGAGGGTCCTGCTCTGAAAATGTTAGTAAGTCTGAATTCGAGTGAGTCCACAGCGCAGAATATATTCCTTGACAGAGTCTGAGTGAGTGCCACTTATTTTTGCCGATTTATCGTGCAATCTTCGGCATTACTATGAGCCTTGCCTAGATTCATGTTTATACCCACCTCTACTCGCAAGTATTTCAAAGCGGTATCGTTAACACACCATTTCAATATTTATTTATCAGAGGCGTGAATTACGTAAAGAAGTCTCTAGTACTACCCACCACCAACGCTTCCGAGGAAGTACTTGATAAATATATCTTATGTTGTGATCTTTTTCAATAAAGATATTCTTGGTGGTTTGCAACCACTCATAGCTCGTATTCTAAGGAACTATACCAGAAGGCACCAAGAGGAACACCTTGTACGTGAGAGATTGGTGTTATTGAGCATTCACACCATGATAGAAAAAAGCCAATTCTATACTTAAGGACTCATGAATCGACTCACATGTACTCACGGCTCGACCTGAGTCTGAGTGAGTCCGGGTGAGCAATATTTTGGTGAGTTTGAGTCCGAGTGAGTGCAGTTGAAAAGTTTCGTGTGTGTGAGTCAGGGCGAGTCCGGTTTAAGAAAAGTTTGGCAAGTCTCACTCTGAGGGAGTTTATATAGGCATGAGTGTGTCGGAGTGAGCTATATAATTTTCGACGACCTATTCTTCCCTGAGCGACGGCCGCCCATTTGTCTTCTAATAGGGAATATTTATTGCTAGAGAAAATATTTGTGAACACGATTCCAAATTATTCCTACCTCTGTATTTGCATCATCTAAAGGTCTCGCTGATACAGCAGCGTTAATGGGGTCTGGTAGTTAGGTTTGCGCAGTAAATATTCAGTATAAGGCGACTTCCGCGCATTTAAGCCCACATCATTAGTGTCCATGCAAACTTTACGTGGGCAGGGCTACAATGCGGATGTGTCCCACCAATTATTCTACAAGGTTAACCTCCCTGCGTTTTCCTTTTTCTTTTTTCCTATCTTTCTTTCCCAAATGCAAATTGCATTCAAACGAAACACCGCTTTCTACCGAGAATACGTTGGGAAACAGTACAAGAAAAGCGGAACTTAGCGCTAGACATTTAAAAAGTAGATATATAACTCACAATTTAGCTTTTTTTAAATACATCTGTGAAGAACTGAAGCAAAGAAATGAGGAGGTACTAGTCTAGGGAAGACCAACATGGTAAATTGCTTTAAATACTTTGAACAACATGTAAGGGCGATGTATATAAAGTAATTTTAATCAAGAACATCCCTCAAAGGCATTTTATATGGCTCCAAGCTCTCAGGATACACATATGTCTGTCATGCAATAACTTCGTTGAAGTCGTGATATTATTGTGTTCCTATGCAAATTATTAGTTGTGTCGTTTCACCAATGTATCCACTGACGCTTCTCGAACTGAGTTCTGGAAGTCTTCATGACAAGATGCTTGGTCTGATATTAGTGGAGAAAATCGCATTGTTTTGACGACCTGGGGCTTTTTGACGTGCACCTATATCTAAGTAGACGGTCAATGTTGCACCCCCTCCCCTCTTTATGGAAATGCAGCAGCTACGGCTACGATAGAAACCACCTCTTGAATATTAGTGGCTCAGTGGCTAAATGCTGTAGCCACTGAGCTGCCACCCCAGGTAACCCATCGGAACTGAACAGAGCTGTTACCGACGCTGTGTTGCGTTCCCGCAGCTTTTACAATTCAAACATAGGCATATCGGCAGAGAAAAGACGAAGGTAGAAAACCACGGGGCACAGCAGCGTGCTATCGCTTCGCGAAAACACTCCAATGGAGTTCTTCGACATGCAGGTAAGAGGAACGTCATGCGCTGATGACTCACCTGCGAAACATTCCTGTCCAGGCGAAGGTGCCCGGTGCTTCGTGGGGCGGCTGCGGCGGCGCTCATTGCTGCGTGTGGTTCGCCGGGCTCCGCCAGGCCAGCGTGCGCTTCGCGAACTCGGGCACCGTGCCACGAGCGAGGTGCTGCTTTTGGAGCCTTTCGAAACGGCAGGGCGTACAAATGTGAACGCAGAACTCGCGGTTGGCACGCGGCCGTGATCTATTAGATCCAGCCCACCTGCCCTTGGAAAACCTTTTTTGCCTGCGCCCGGGGTATTTTGTGCGACTCGAATATATAGAAGTGACAGTCAGACCCAACTGTGACCCCTAACAGCGGCCACAGTTGGGGGAGTCGATCATACCAATGCGATGATTTAATGAATAGGTGAAGGCAATGCCGACCCACTACCAATACGGCATTGTAGCATCCCGTCGCGAAGTCTTTGATGGCAGCTGTAATTGAAGTAATGAAGCAAGGTTCTGTGGGCGTCGGATGGAGTTTAGTGGAATATTCCAATGCATAAGTGTGGTATTATGCGCGATGCGGCGACGTCATTAATCCAAAATTGTCAAAGCAGGTAAGTCCGGTCAGCATCCTGCAAACCGACTTATATGAAACGTAACAACCTGTATGGAATGTTCACGGTATATTTTGAGTTACCTTGCAAAGAATAGCATGAACAAGAAGGGAAAATTGACTCATAGGTTGGGCGGCTATGTGGGTGTCTTGAAATTGTTGGGGTTGGGGGCTAATTCAACTGCACAGAGGACAGGCAAACTTAAAGATGAATGGTGACAATTAAAATGCCATTGAAATCAATATAAACGTGTCGAGAAAACCTGAATGGGATATGGCTAAGAACGGAGTCAATTCAAAGAAGTAGTGTTGTTCTAGTATCTAACGTTCTCAACTTTTAAAGAAGTCATGACAAGGCGCGGACTTTAGTATGAAGTGTGCTTCTCGTTACAAGGGACTTCAAGGATAGACTTATCGTGCAACTTAGCGTGCACTTAGATTTATCGTCCGTGAGCTGTGGACTAGCTGTGAAAGCTACAAAGTCTAAATATTATCGGCTGCTGCTGCTTTTCCATGCCTGACCAGCGTTTAAAGGGTAATAAAGAATATTATAGTCGCTATTCAACGATTAAGTAGTATGATAACGCATGTTTTACCCAAATGTGTTGCCGGAGCAAGGCAAGACACTTTGTATAAATAAAAGAAGTCATACAGACCCTTTACTGATATTGATGCCATTTCTGGTAGCATCTCTGTGAACAAGCCTACTGCCAGTTTACGTCACCATACCTACATATATATTTGTAACCACAAATCGTAAAACTACGGCAGAGCAGAAGTGCATGAGATTGCAGATGCACTACATCATTTTGACTCCTGCGTGACTCGCAGAGCTGTGATGAGACAATCAAACACTTATCGGATTTTTGTTATTGCTGTGTACTATACGGTGCAACGAAGCGTTTCGGAGTGCGTTAGTCCGGGTAAATCGTAAACTATTTTCTGACACAAAAACATTGTCTCTTATGCACCTCATTCTTACAATCTATGCGGATACTGTCACAGTTTCTAAAGACTACTCACTGGATTGAGCGACAAAACACCATGCCGACCAGGTCCTTAGCCAGTAAAAAGAGGGGGGGGGGGGGGGGGGGCTTTCTCCTCCCGAAATTTAGATGAAGGTGTGTGTTTTACCAAGAACCTTAAAAATGGGTGTAATTGAAGGCTTTCAACAGCTTACTTCCCCCATATCCCCGGAAATAAATTTCAGGATACGATACTGATGCCGACACACGCCACTTACGGTAAAAAAATATAATGTATGTGTTTATTGAAAGTATTGGGAAGTTTGGTGCTAACAATGTCTTAAATTTGGCTATACTGTCTGAGTTCTCCGTCAAACTATTTTGCTGATTCGGTCAGAGTTCAATTCAACTGACTCTCGTATAGCGACATCGGTATCCTCACAGTATTTGTTATACAAACGTAGAAGGTTTTGCAGCAAAATTTTTGCGAAAACCATCGTAACAAGACCTACATTGTACTAGAAAGACGGAACTGATGTCCAAGCTTTGAAAATTGCAAGGAAAAGATGTTATGCAAAACAAGTAACGAAATTCATACAACTTGCCAGCACAAGAAGCAATATCAGTGAAAATCATTTACGTGCAAGAATGAAAAAAAAAATAAACGTTGGATACGTGAAAACATGCCAAGACAAATCGAGGGACCAAAAGTGTTTTCTAACGTGCGCCCTTCAATGGTGCGTACATCCTGTTCAACCCCAGACGTACGCTGTCCACGTCTCGGGCAAAGGTGATTGCAGCCGCGTTGATGGCACACTTACGCAACGAAGCCCCGGCCGCCCGTTCATTTGTATAACCAACAGGGGCGCCTCGGAGCGTTCCTTTCTTCGAACAGGTTCTTCGGAAAGAGGGACAGTAAACGGTCACGGACCGACTTCCTGATTTCTGTGTCATTCTTCTGCCAAGGATAACCGCTCGCGGGTCCATAAGCGGAGCCCGAACAACCGCTACAATCGACAGTGCTTCGCCGCAGCTCGACAGGTAAGGTTCTCGCTCGAAGCGCACCTGGCGCGCGTTGCAGGGACCTTGACGAGGCAGTGCCTGTGCATGGGTCGTGTATAAAACCTGTAGCTCAAACACGGCTAGATTTCGCGAAGATTATTTACGGCTCTCGATCTCTACTGAAGCTATTTTTCAAGTCGTTGGGAGGTTAAGATTTGTCTCGGTTATTCAGTGGTTCTTCAGCACTGTGCCAAACAGGTGCCATTTTCGAAGGTTCCGAAAAGCTGCCGGAAGTCAATATATTTATGCATGGTGTCATAATGATGAAATTGCTGCTCTCTCTTGTAACCTGATATATATGTTTACGGTATCAGTCATTTCGTTCTATTTGTCATCCTCATGACATATATTATAAGCGCAATAACTAATTACCTTCTTGATAATCCATTAAAGAGTGGCGTATTGCGTACACAAAGACAAGGGGACAGAAAGAACAGCGAAGGCCCCATGTGCCCTTGTCTTTTGGTATGCTTACGATGGAATACTAACTATCCCATAATAAAACCTTGTTTTTAATATTGCGAACTTTGTTTTTTATATTATTCACAAGGAAACCTTGTTATTGTTATTGCGGCGCACTGATTGCATGGCTAGGCTATTCAAAACTTTCACATATTCCAGCACTAAAATTCATTAACTAATACTAATATAAATTTGCGTTCCATACATGACCAGGACATTGTGCGCTAAGTATGCGTATGAAAGCGTCTATTGTATATAGTGCTTCAAGCGGAATCCTTAGACTAGGATGAAAAGCAATTTTTTCACGCCACTTAATTTACGAAGCTTACGTATCATGAGGTATCACTGTTTTTGACATCACGAGGCCACCTCCAGAAAGCTTTTCGCTTCATAGGACCCCTTTTCATCAGCCGCCCAACATCGTTGAGGTGTTCGCTACCGTAATCGGACAGTCTTAGTTCGTATTGCAATCACTTTTAGTGTACTCTGAGCTGTATTGCGAGTTGACGTCAATAAGAGCAATTAGTCACGAAACGGTTTCCTATGCCATTATTTCAAAGAATTTCTCTTACAGCTAAAAAAATGACGCACTCCATTTCTGTTTGTTTCTTTGGACGTACTATTGTGAGCAGGATGTGCTCAAACACGCGAGCACGTGGCAAGTAGCCTTAAAACCAAGGTAACGTGATACGTGGCGGCGCTGCCGAAATCAGACAGGAAAGGAGGGCTGCTATTCATCTGTCTGTTTGCACTCCCGCTTCGCTAGTGTTGTGAGCAAACGGCAGATGATTGCGTGCAATCTGCCGCTAGCGATAATAGCAAGAATAAAAATTCACTAAAAACAAAGTAAGTGAAAGACCTGTATCAAAAGGCGCTGCCAACACCTCCTGCATACAATACAGGCATGGCATCACGGCAGCCTACGTCACAGCCGATACGTCAGCAGCCACATGGGTAGCTGCTGAGATATGCTGAGTGTAGCTGTGCGGGTTATCTGACTTCATATCACCACTGGAAGCCACATGACGCCCCATAAGCCACCGTTTTGATGCCTAGGCGGGAGGATCAACAGGTATACGAGAAGCGCACCACCTTTTCCACTTCTTCCAACAACTGCTGCTGCGTGTCTGCCAATGTAGGTTTCGAGGCTATTCACCACCGCTCACGTGTTCGAACTCATATTTCTCACGATAGTACATTAAAAAAAAAGTGCGACGAATCCATGATTTCAAATGGCTGTCAGAAGTATGTAGCTATTGTACAAAGAGTGCATATTAAGCCTTCGAGTAGTTACACTTTTCAGTGAGATACTCCGGCGCGATTGAGTCGATTCGATACTCTTACCTTTTTTTTTTTCTCCTCAGAGGCAGCCAACACCGACTGAAATTCCTCATATTCTCTGAAAAACAGAAAACAACAACCATGAAAGCAACAATTTTCAGCGTGGCCCTTGTAGTCATCTGTAAGTACGCCATTACTATTTTATTTGATCTTATACACCATTTGCTGCGCCGAGACGCTACCTCAACTTGTCCACATATGTTTGTTGTATAACAAACAATAGCTATATAGTAGGCAAATATGCATAAGTACTTAAAGAAAGACAATCAAGGTATTCATACATGCTGCAAAATAATACACTGAAGGAGAGTTCCATCAAAATCTAGTTTATGCTCTCGCCATTGCTTATATGTTGCAAACACTTTACAGTACTCCATTGCTGTAAAGGTGGTAAATTATAACACCCCTAAAGTTTGTAGGATTCACATCTGGTTTGAAACTTCTGCACCTTATGTATATGCATGAATTTAGTTGTGGTTGGTAAAGTGCTGCTCAAGGGCATGACTCGCAGCTATTGAGAACATTTTTCTATAGTACTGCTGCGATAAGTCCGAGACTAAGATATATGTTATTATCTCTATCCAGACGATGAGCGTACATTTGAAATAGCAAATATACATTGACGGAAATCGCACACTGATTGCATTCATTCTATGTATCACAATAAGTTTAGCGTTGTTGTGTGTTTGGGCTTTTGAATATGCTCATACGTAATATGCTTTGAACTTTACTGCCATTTTCAACGTGCTATAAAACTTTTACACCTTTCTTAATCGCACTTTCTCTTTACTGTAGACAGAATACGAGTCTTCACAAGATTTTCTAACATCGGCCTTCTAACTCTCCTGCTCGATTAAACCTTTCAATCTCAAGTCGTATTCATAAGAATTTCTTGCGTTTGAATTTTTCTTAGAGAAAAAAATCAACCAACCCTGATGATGCCCACATTACTCAAGGCTGCAAGCCAATAACAAAGTGCATTTATGATATACTCGCGTTTGGAAAATAATCCACTTATTCATAAATAGTGCCTGCTGTATGCGTGATGCACTTTGTTAGCTTAAAAATTGCCTGTCTATATTTAACCCCCATCACTATTGCGCTGTGATTTAATAGACCCGCTATAAAAACTTGAGCAAGAGTCATAGGTTGATTGCGCACTCACTCTCACCACTAAGAAAAAACAATCCTACAGTTTTCAATGGTGTAAGCTCTACTTCAGGGCTCATAAAGTACCACGAGAACCACCGTTGATTTACTCGCGAGAGTCAAGAAAATACAAAAAAAGTAAAGCATTGCGCTCGACCACCGGTATGTGTATATACTAAAAAATACACGAAGTGGACCGACTTTTACCTGCAGATTACCCTGAATTCCGGTTGACCTTGAAGGCATGCATGAGAAAGACATCCAACTCGAAGGAAGCCACATGGCTGCCTTAAGGAAGCATTTAGTGACATGCTCGAACACTAATGCAATCAAAGCTCTTTGATAAAGTTTAAGGAGAGCAGTGGGCTGAAAACAGGAACACGAAGAAGAGGAACATGAATCTGCACAGACCAACCAATCTAGAAGCTTCCCGCGTTACTTTGATTAGTTTCACTGCCTTGCTCAACCCAAGGAAGTCATGCAGACCAGTTCATTTATCATATTTCATCATAACCACCATCTCCAGCGGTGGCCTATTTTACGTACACCGCTGCACGATGACTGTCTTCCGGCGACAGGCGTCTCTCCACTACGGCGTCTCTCATAATCACATGGTGGATTTGGGACGTTAAACCCCACATATAAATCAATCAATCACTCCTGCGTTAGACAACACAACAATATACTTGCTGATTTCCTGATCTCTCCATAGTATACCTTTCTCTCTGGCGACCTCCACAGCTTTTTTTCTGCCACTAAGCCATTTTACAACAATAGTCGTCATCTTTCTCGCGTGTCTTTCTTCCCTTTAAAACCACACACCCCTGTGTCTTAAAATAACGGATGGCGTGCACGCTATTAGCGTGACACAGTATTCTCGACAGGAAAGTGGCGGGCACTGAGTTTTCGAGAAAAGAAACGTGAGGAAGCCAGATGGCGATTGTTATTGTAAGATAGAAAAGGCTAAGATAGAAAAGGGTGCGACTGTTTTTAGAGTGTAACCTTCGTGCACCGCCAACACTTCTTGCGCTCGCTGTGGGATGCGCTGGTACCAGAAATCGCTCTTTTATAAGCGATGTGGAGCATAGACAGGTGCCACTTTGCAACGTCGCCCATGAGGCATGCTCGCGATATCACAATCATGGCCTTCGATGCGTATACTCATAACGCATCTATAGATATACATTAGTTTTGGCAGTTTCCAGCCTAGCTGTCTCGCTCAAATATAGAAGCCTTTTACTACAGCGTGCTGCGAAAAGTTTTGTTTTTTTTTGTGTTTTTTTATAATGAGACCGCTTGCTCTGCAAGTCACGCGGCAACTCTATATATAGCGCACCACGACAAGGACACAAGAGAGAGAGAGAGACAGCGCTAGCTTTTAACTCGTCACTTGTTTTGCAAGTTAGCGTTGTGTGTGCGTCTGTCTCTCTTTTATGTCCTTGTTGTGATGCAGTATACCCACATGAATGATGAACTCCAACCAACTATATAGCTCGGCAATCTCCCTTAGCATGCGCCTACTATTCAGTTCAACGACTAAACAATTATTCTGGTTTTTCTTGCCACTTTAAGTGCCCTTTTAATTTATTGTATGAGCATTCATTGGTGAGTACAGCTGGGAAATTATGTCCGTAACTCAACGCAATACGTTTTCAATAGCAATACGTAGTGCCTCAAGGAAAATAGATGAGAAATTATGAAAGCGGCAAGCACATGAAGATGGGACAAGAAGACGACGCACAGGGCGCTAGTTCCAAACTGGTCGACGTCACGACCCCGTGACAATATGTTGATTGATTGATATGTGGGGTTTAACGTCGCAAAACCACCATATATATGATTATAAGAGACGCCGTAGTGGAGGGCTCCGGAAATTTCGGCCACCTATGGTTCTTTAACTTGCACCCAAATCTGAGCACACGGGCCGACAACATTTCCGCCTCTATCGGAAATGCAGCCACCACCACCGGGACTCGATCCCGCGCACAGGGGGCCTGTAGTAGTAAAAAATGACTCGAAACTATAACTTAGCCTGTCTGGGCTCGAGCTGTCGAACTTCTGAGCTTTGAATACAGAAGGAAACAAAGAAATGTTGCCTGTGAGGAGGTTCTAACCTACGATCTCACTCCCAGAAGACCGAAAACCCAATGACCAACCAGACTTTTTTTCTTTGGTCATGTTTCTTCAAAATTACGTACACCTCGAAACAGTGGACCAAGTAAAAAAAAAAGAATAAAAAGAAACAGGACTAATAATAATATTTCGTCGAGTTTCACGTCCCGAAACCGCGATATGATTACGAGGGACGTACGCCAGTGAAGGAGATCTCGAAATTTGAAACACCTGTAGTTTTTTTTTCGTACACTTATAAATCTAAGTAAACCGCTCTCAAACGTTTTCACTTTTTTCGCAAATGCAGCAGGCGTGACCTAGATTCGATCCCGCTACATTCGAGCCAATGAAACAGGACTAACCATAATTATTGCTATCGCATACTAATCATGAATCTATCATGCACATGGTGGTTCCTTCAAAAATCCTTCAAGACCGTGAAGGAAGGCTCGATGTAATTGCAGACCACTTTTGGAGGCCGGGCTGTTACCATAGTGTGCTGCCGTCGTTCGGCGTAGCGCGTGCAAAACCACATGTATAGCGTAGCCATCTGTAGGATAACAAGCGAATGCTCGCGCAAAAAAAGGGGCCTTCTTTCTTTTCTTTCTGGAACGCCTTGATGATTATAATAAAGCCGACAAAACCGCATACAGCATAGTCATTTGAGGACGTGCTCGTGCCAAAGAAAAATAATCTTTTTATTGTTCTTCGAGCGTCATCGTGATGTGACGAAGTGTGGGGAACTTTAGGGGATCGGGCTTTCGTGTGCTGCCGTCAGATAGCTTAAGGCCAGCGAAACCACGTGTAAAAATGGAAAAAGCGGAAGCATCAGAGAAAAAAAGAGACAGAGAGAGATGAAGGATGAAAATATGAAGAGGAAAATAAATAAAGAGACATAAAGAGACCCGCCACGGTGGTCTAGTACATAAAGCACTCGGCTTCTGACCTGCAGGTCACGGGATCACATCCCTGCTGTGGCGGCCGCATTTCCGATGGAGGTGAAAATGCTTGAGGCTCTTATGTGCACGTCGAAAGAAAAAAAAAACAGATGGTCAAAATTTCCGCAGCCCTCCACTACGGCGTCTCTCATAATCATATGGTGGGTTTGAGTTTTTAAACCCCAACAATTATTAATTAAGAGAAAAATTAATACAGTAGAGGAAAGAAGAAGGGGAAGGCGGGTCACAGATTTGCCATAAAGGCGAAGCAATGAACGCGATAGCAACAAATTGGAAGGTCACGCGCAGAATGGCAAGCAGATCGAAACGTGCCCCGCGTTTCTCACGCACAAATAGCGCACGAAACCTACTTACAGGTACAGATGAACGCGAATAAGCGTCTCAGTTGTTACTTCGCTCTGTTTGAAAAGTGTGCCCCTTTCGCAAACGGAGGCTATGCAACGATTGCAGTGACCTTTGTGCGCCCCGTAGCTACGACAGAATCATTCCAGTGCAAGCCCGACGCCAGTCAAGACGTATGATCCTCCCCACCGGGAGATAAGGGCGCGTGAGATCTCGTCCACTCCCCTCCTCTCCGCGGGCCAAAGTACGCGTGAGAGATGAGAGCCGCCGAGCGCTCATTGCGCAATCTTACTGATAATGCTGAAAGCACAATAGTTCCACCATCCGAAGATGCCCATAGCGGTAAGTGGTAGATATAAATAGATTGCCGTTTGAACGTTTAAGGAGGTACCTCTCGGTGGCTCAGAGGTTAATGCCTCGCATTTGATTCCGCGCACCAGAGTCCTTCTGCTGGATTTTTTTTCTTTCTTGCGCTTTCATATGTATATAGATACGTATACATACACGCTGCAGGACATCTACGTCGACGCCGGCGGCGAAATCCAGCCGAGAGTGTCCACATCATTGCTATCGCAATAATATCGCAATAAAAGGAAGAGAAATAAAAAAGGCTGCCCAGCTCCTCACTTGCTTCAGGCTTGGCATTTCTCTAGGGCGAAGGTGCCTAATTTTTTTAAGGGCTCCTTCTCTTTCTTTTTAGGCGCAATATTAAAGAGAAACTAACAGACATTAATACCAAGGAAAGTATCGGGGATGTTATCTGTGCTAATTGAGTTATAAAGGCAGGTAAAGTAATGTGGACGTGAAGATACGTTGCCACAGGCAGGGACCCAACGTGCGACCTTCTAAATCTGTTCGAAGGTTTGCTTTACATTTGTTAGTTTCGTTAAATATAATCGTGTTACAGTTACTACAAATAACGTGCCCTATTTTATTGTCTGTTAGTTCGTAATAATGTTGTATTTAACACAGCGAGAGGTACGATGCTGTTTAACCACTCAAGCACACAACTTAGTTCCTAATTATACCAGTCCCTACACTACAGAGTACACTCTACCTATACTGGCGAAGGTACATATATGTAAGGACATGTCACAGACCCCTCCCAGCAGTGCCAGCCTGTGGTTGAACAGAGAGTATCTCAGCACCAGTTTCTACTTTCTTTAGTGGCGTAATCATTAGCGTTTGTTTTTTGAATGTTCATTTTTTAATGAACGTTAGTATCAATGTACTGCAGGACCAAAAAAGTATGCATCAATGTACTTGACAGCATTTTGACTTTTTGAATTTACAGGGCCGTATTCAGTGGAGGTCCTGGGCTAGACGTTCTGAAGCATGTAAAGAGATTGTTAGACCTACTAGCAACAAAAACGCTTTTCCTCAAAATGCGTACAGGCATGTTGTCGGTTAAAATTTTCATAGAGCAGGAACGGCTTTTTTTTTACCCTGACGCACTGACTGTCTTATTTGACAAAAAAGGAGATATTGACTCTGCTAAACACCAAAAGTTGCGAAAGGTGAATATATCTGAACCCTTTGTATCGGCTAGGGTGGCATGAGAACACTGAACAAGAACGGGAGTTACGGCGGAAATGGGAACTACAGGCACAGTTGAATACTTATGCGCATTCTATAACACCTACTTGTCGGACTACGTATCATCACCCTAATATGCGAAATGAGCGCAGCAACGACAAACAGAACAGCCGAAGTGTCAAAGACGACAAAGTGACACAATGATTACAAATACTCAAAATCATTTTCGTGGAGTTCCTTCAGGTGTGTGTGTGTGTGTGTGTGTGTGTGTGTGTGTGTGTGTGTGTGTGTGTGTGTGTGTGTGTGTGTGTGTGTGTGTGTGTGTGTGTGTGTGTGTGTGTGTGTGTGTGTGTGTGTGTGTGTAACTTATTTTCTCAGCACTTGTATCATATATACGTACCACTATACCCCCCTACCAACAGCTCTGCACGTACCGAATTAGGTCAAATGTCGCCTTATCCACCAGAACTAGATGACATGCATCAGTGGACTTGAATTTTTTTTCTTAACTATATGTGCATTAACTGCGAAAGCCGCGTTTATTTCCGATTTGTTAGTTCCTTTGATCATTCATTCTTTTGTTCGTTTATCTTCTTGTTCGATCATCCAATGCTTTATACCATTGCTTGGATATTTCTAAATGCTCGAACGTCCACGCACGTTTCAGCCATTATGAGTGATAAACGCTCATTGACGAAATCGAGGAACTATAGCACCTATTCCCTGCTTGCCCTTCGCAGTGCTCACGACCGCCTTCGGATGCGACCACATGGGTTACCGCCGGGATGCGGGCCGCTGCAGGACCAAACACGAAACCAATTTGCAACAGGCGTCAGCTTCCCAGAGATGCTGGTGGGAAAACCGTTTCCATTGCTTCGACGATGCGCATGCATGCAGGATGCGCGCTGCGGACGCATGAAATGGCCATTAGGCGAGCACTCGAAGCAAACGGATAGCGCGAGCAGCGATTACTGAGAGACAGCTGTTTCACCTGCGGTTGCTCGGTGTTTTAGCCGTATTCGCATACGCAACAAAAGATAACTAAGTGCAGCATTAAAGATCCTAATGTTTTGTCACACAGCGCAACCGTGAGAAAACTAAGAAATAGTAACAACTAAACTTAGCAAGAACGATGAAATAGGACGGCATTATCACATCTGCGTTCGCAAAAAGAAACAAAAAGAGCCGGGGAAAAATACAACTTATTCCAATCATTACGCGCCAGTGTAATGTGGTTTTTTTTAATCATATTATGTGATACTTTCGCCTTTTTGCATTGTTTGCATCATCTGTGTATAGTTCATCTTATGTTTAGCTTCCTATATAGCACTAAATACGCGTAGAAAGTATGCAGACGTAAACACTTCTAAATTCTCTACATTGTTCGCATGCATTTCGTACACTGAAATTCTGCATAGAAAACTTTCCGAAAGTTACGATTTTCATTCTTATTCTCGCAACATGGCACACGTGCTAAACACACTTAAGGAAAGTGTATTTTCACTCATCTATATACTTAATTTAGCTGTACTATAGTCGGTTTCGTTTTCTGTAAAAAAGCAGCAAGGTGAACTTCCATAATGGAAGCATCCCGACGCAAACCTGTGTTTAAACAGCGAGTATAAAACGTTTTATAATTCATTTAATTCTTTTTTTTTTCAGCGCATTTTACGTCCTATCGGAGTGCCTGAAGCTCGCCTCTCGATACTCGGACTGTCCTCAGGCCTATGCCATGGCGGAGCTGAAAGAGCTCCGTGATGCCAGCCGTCTGACCCCAGACCAATGCCAGGGTGGACGAGAGCAGTGTGGTGATGCCTTGAAAAGGCAATACTAGTACCAGCGCTGATACCACAAAAGGCACCGACTGTGTACAAACCATGACACCTGTCTCCTGACACTGTGCTGCTATCCCGCTCTAAGTCGAGAGAGATACATCCATAATGCTGGACATTATTTACAGTAGAAGAACAAAAAAAAACCAAGCAACACAATACATGGTTGAAATAGTGTGGAATAAACGTTTTATACATGTCACATTTCTCGGTAGAAGTGTTGAATGAAATAAGGGGAACTGAAGGGCTCGTTTTTTGTTTTGTTTTTCAGACACAACTCCAATAAAAACTAATTAGCTATAAACCCAGATAAAGTATAGGGTACGTTATTGGTGGCATTTATGATGCAACTGCGAAGAAAAACAAAATAGACAAACAGAAAGCTTGCCGCCTGCAAGGACCGACGCTGCAATCTTCGAAGAACACGTCTGACGCTCTACTATTTGAGCTACAGCGGCGATCGTCCTCCCAAACACTTTATCGGGTATCATCATCATCACCATCATCATCATCAGCCTGTCTAGACCCGCTGTAGGGCAAAGGCCTCTTTCATGATCGGTCAATGAAGCCGGATATACATGTGCATTAAAACCTGGGAGTGTTAGCGCCGCTTGTTGCTATGACGGCGAGAGTGGAACACTTGTTCTCTTTTTCACTGCTGGTGTAACGCATCACGGGATCTTCAATTTTTTTTATAAGCTCGCAACTGACCAGGCATACTATGTATGCGAATGACGTATTTGCATATATATATTATCGTTGTGAATTTAATGGTGCATTGCATTGGCCTTTGCGTGCCTACTAAGAAAATATGCGGTGAATGTATGAAATCATCAACTGCACCGTCTCTTCTACAATCCACTTAATAGCACTGTTCTAAAGAAGCTTCCTACGCTTGCAATTCACGTTCTGCGTCAAATAAAGAAGCGTGAAAATGCGGTTCATTTTCCGTGTGCATCAACAACAAACCGCTTTTGAATCCATCTTATTGCTCGTACGAAGCCCTCTTTAAAACATGTCAGTGCCTGCGAAATGTAGTACCAGGATACAGAAAACATCTTGATAAGCTTCATTAACAGCTTTTAAACACATATTATTAAACGTATGATAGTTAGGTGCATTTAAAAGCGCTATAATAGCTAAAGGAGCAAGTAATTTGATAAGTTATCATAAGTACATTTTACCGTGTGGGAGGCAAGAACAGCTGCGAGAAAAGGAACAATGCTCAGTGTAAGTATAGTGCCAAATGAATGTAATGCCACTCAAATACTGCACTGCTTAGCAGTATAGTATGAGCACTGCATTGTAAGTCGCGCTTGCAGAAATCCGAACACGCTCAATATTACGCAAGACTTTGCTACCCATCGACAGATGGCGCCAGCCAACCAACAGTATGCCAAGAAGCGGAGGGTATGCGACTTTCGTACGTTCAAAAAGGGTAACGTGGCTCTGCGTTTAAATAATTAAGGTGTTGTAAGTGTCAGCGATTTATTGGTGTAACACAAACTCGTTGCAATGGCCGAATTGAACAAGTAGCCCTCGCTGACTTCGGGATCGCATTAACACAGTGCATGGAGATGTGACAAGTATAAGGGACTCTACAACCGGATCTCACTCTGCTTCACACACTTGCAGGAACGAATGTGGTAAGATGCATGTTACAAATATGATGAGGTTAAATATTCGAGGTGTTCACTA